CCACAATTAGTTTGAGATAATGCTCTGCTCACGAGCTGTTACCTCCCAGACCTAAAAATGCTCTTTTTGTAATGTTTCCTCTAGTATAAAAACCCTAAATAGCTGTGCTGTGAAAGTTCCCTGGGTATATAATAGCTACTTTATGAGATGGGGGATCTATAATTTTTAAGTAGTATTGTGATTAGTGTAAAAGTGAATGTAAGATTTTTCTGCTTCCAGCATCTCAGAGCTTAAGTCACCTGTCTGATAATTAGTAAATCAGTGCCAGATCTGCAGCATAAAACTGGCTTTCTGCAAATGTTCTGTCCTGTTGCTTTAGAAGTATTTTGAACAAGACAATTAAGCAAATATCCAGAGGAAAAAGGTGTGCTGGTAAACAGCTACTGGTGAGGAAGTGCTAATTTAGACATTTCTCCCCTTCACAGAAAACAAGAGTACACGCATTTAGGACCATACCTAGAGCAGCAATTTAGCAGCTTTTAGCACTGTGGCCTGTGCTGGTCCCTGCCAGTTCTCCTTGCAGCCCAGGTAATTAAATTGATGTTCCCACACAGCTTCACCTGCTGACCTTTCACAAACAGTGTGTTTTGCTGCATTAACAAATTAACTTCAAATCAGTGGCTCCTCCAGTAAATGTGGTGTGCACAGAGTTGGAACAGGCTGGCCTGTCCCGTGGTGGTGGCAGACGGTGAGAGCAGCACTGCAAGTGAAGCCCTGCTGGCTGTGGGTGTTGTGCCCCTGCCCTGGGGCTGGTCCTGGCTGTGCTGCTTCCCTGGGAATTGCAGCTTGGCTCTGTTGTGTTCAGGTGTCTGCAGGGCTCCAAGTGCAGTACAGAGGCCTCAAAACAAACTCTGTTCTGCAGCACTTTGGTGGGTTGGATCTGCCTGTGTTGTTACAAGCACTGGGGTCACAGTTCTGAGAGTCAACACGATGCCTGTTTAGAAGTCCAAGAGACACAAAAGTTTCTACACCTTTAATCTTTTCCCAGAGCAGCATTTGTATGTGTCTTCATTGTGGAAACACATAGAATTATTTTTTGATCAAAGCTTAATCATGTTTGATATCTAAATCTCAGCTGGAAAAAAACAATCCAGTGACAGGATAAGGATATGAAAGTATTGTCTCCTGCAAAGGAGTAGTTTGTTGTAATATAAATGCACTATTTGCTGTGTATTTATCTTCACTTGCACAGAACTAAAGTGATACTTGCACAAGTAGTTTTGAGTTCTAGGCCATATCAGGATGCTTTAAGGTCTGACTTGTTGGTCAATTAGGAGTAAAACATCAGTGCTGTGTGTGTGGGCTGGTTATAGGCAGGGAGTGTGCAAGGAGAGGGCAGTGAGTGGTGACCTGCTCCATGCTGGACACGGGTACCTGTCCTGTCGTGGCACGTCTCAGGTCACGGGACTTGTCACTGTTTTGGAAAAACAAAATAAGAACAAGGGCATTTCGTGAGGTGAGTATGAAGGTAAAGGACGTGCTGCTCGTGCTGCTTTGGCCAGGAGCCGAGCAGCGTTTCCCTGCAGTGACTTTAATGCGGTTTCCACTTTGCTGCAGCAGCACAGACTCCGCCCGCCCCGGCCGCCGCCCCCCAAGATCCAGCGCTCGGCCCGGCCCGTGAGTAGCTGGGGTTTGTGTCACTGCCACAGCCTAACCCTGCCTGAGCCCTGCTCCTGCAGCACTACTAAACCTGGCCCTGTGGGCTGCCCAGCTGTGCTCACAGCCCCGTGGGAGCTGTGCTGCCGAGCCCTGCCCAGCACGGCCCGCGGGCTCTGCTTCTCTCTGCCAGTCCTGCAGCCCTGGGGGCTCTGCCAGGGCTCCCCCAACCTCTGCCGTGCTGTCCTACCCAGAGAGCCCTGCTGGGCTGGCTGGGGCTTTTAGCCAGGGAGCTTTTGAAGACTTGCACTGAACTCAAATACGAAAGGAAGCAGAAGTCTGAAGAGAAAATATTTATTCTCTGCACGTTATGCTTTAAATTATTTTGGGGTGCTTAATTCTTCTCCATGGGACAGCTGTGTGGGTAGATTGGAAGAAAGCAGGTGGATATTTGGGTGGTAGGACACTGGGCCCAGGCTGTGGAGGACACACACACAGGTTGGCCAGGGGAAGGGACCCTGCCATGGAAGGACTGCACAGAAATTACTGGCAGTGCAGTACCTGTGCTGTATTAGGCAGGGATACCTTGTTTCTGCAGTTTTTGCCCCAGAACACTCCCTGCAGGACAGTTATTGTCTATGAGCTCTGCCAGATGGATTTAAAGCTGGAGACTCTGCTGGGTCTGCACCAAATTTTTATTTTTTGTAGTAGGGCAGGCAGCAGGTATCAGTTTAGGAGGGGTGTTGGTTTTTGCAACAGCCTTGGAAGATATTTATGTCTTTTCAGGACTTCAGCTTTATGAATATAATTCCCCCAAAATCATCTTACTTCTTGCTTCCTTATACAGACACACTGTACATAAGAGAGATGCAAGTTTTCAAATCTAATCTTGCTAAAACTTGTTAGGATATGTTTTGGATGAGCAGGTAACCGGTTAACAAGTGCACTTGGGTGTGTGTTTTAACTTTGGATCTCTGGTGCATGTTCCTGGGTTACGTTTCAACAGCATGTGTTCCTTCTCCTCTCCTTAACTCTGGGTGTCTGGCTTAACAGAGTCACTCTTGGGGGTTTTTGCTCTGGAGGTTTCTGTTTTCTGTGTTTAAAAAGGGGCACTGACTGTGTTTGTTTGTGTTCAGTTAAATGTGACTGGCGTGGGAGACCCTCCCAGACTGCTCACCAGGATCAGCCTCCCCCTGGAGCGGGGGGTTCCTCGTGTTCATGGCTGGCAGGGGCAGAGGCCGTGGTGTGGCTCCTGCACCAGAGCTGCTCACCAGCACTGTTCAGATGGAGTCATTTATTACACGGCTTGATTACATCTGCACATTTATTACATGCTAAGACTGTTTAATCTCCCAGCTGTAGTGCATTAATAGTCCTCCCTGTAATGTGTTTGGTTCAACTGTCTCTGCTCCCAATGTGATTGATAAAAGGTTGGAAATGTAATAATGAAAGCTCCTGTTGCATTCATCTGGCTGTGTCAGTAAGTGGAACAGAAAGGCTTCATTCATCAAGAGGAAATTCAAGATAAATGTAAATGATTATAATCACTCCCAAAAATATGCTTGTACCAAATATACACAAATTTGTTGTTGTTCAGAACTGTTATTTGGCTTTTAATAGTTGAAACACATTTGTGTGTGTGTAAATAATATTTTGTGCAGCTGCTTTTTCCCTCTCTGAGTCTTGGCAGCTATTACAGAGGTGGGTATCACAAGGCAGCTTTCCTGGCCTCGTGCACAAGCACAGGGCCCTCTGCTCTTCCAGGGCCACATAACAGCAGAATTCCTGAGAAATTCTTCCTGCTGCCAGGAGGGCTCCATGGGCACCAGTGCTTGCAGTATGAGCCACTGCAAATAACAAAGGCAAAAACACAGCCCAGAGAAGGGCTAAGGAAGCAGAACAGAGATGTTCTTTGCATTCTGGTGGTTTGGAAATGAGCTGCGGTGCTATTAGCAAAGAGAGAGGCTTGTTGCTTATAATTAATGGAGATCTGTTTGGTCTAATAGTGGCTGTTTGGAAACTTTATTCAATTAGAAAAAGTTAAAATATAATAATTATGCCTAATGTTGATGGGGACAGTAATAAGCACATTCAGCCCTTGTGCCCTGGGAGTTTGCCTTTGTTCTTTTGGCTGTGTGCTCACCTAATTGGATCTCTTTGGTACTTTTGCATTTGATAAGCATTTAACCTTGCCTGTTTGGCTATGTGAGGCTCAAAATCCAGCAAGGAATGACTTGATTCCCAGATTTTCCTGCAGTTCCCCCTGAACAACGCCCTGAATGCCACTGGGCACGTCACCCCGCTCTGCCCTGGGCTGGTGGCCCCAAGAGCCATCCCAAACTGTGCTCTGTGTCCCTGCTCCCAGCACCCCCAAAGGTGTTCCCAGCACCCCCAAAGGTGTTCCCAGCACCCCCAAAGGTGTTCCCAGCACCCCCAAAGGTGGAGGTATTCCCAGCACCCCTAAAGGTGGAGGTGTTCCCAGCACCCCCAAAGGTGAAGGTGCTCCCAGCACCCCCAAAGGTGCTCCCAGCACCCCCAAAGGTGAAGGTGTTCCCAGCACCCCCAAAAGTGTTCCCAGCACCCCCAAAGGTGAAGGTGCTCCCAGCCCAGTGACATCCAGCTTTGCACATGGGCTCCCAGCTCCCATTTAATTAAACAGCTGCTCTCTCCTCTCCTTCCCCCTTCCTCCTGGTGCTCCCCTCTCCCCGGCCCTCCTGCCTCTCTCCCCCCTCTGCTGCCGTCTCTGCTGTTTTATCAGCCCTAATGAAGCAGTATTCTTCATCGATCCTGCTGATTGCCAGCCCCTTCCTTTTGTTTGTTGGCACCGAGCCATTCTGCCGCGCTCTGACAGCTCAGCTCCTCTAATTAGCTCTGTTGTTCTTTTCCCCATGTTTCACCACGCTGCAAGTTCAGTTGAAGTTGCCACAAACTTAATCCTTCCATTCCTGCCATAAATTCACATTCCTAAGCCGTCTTTATTGTGGAGAGGAGCAGCCTTGTGTGGGGACTGATCTCTGAGACCTTAACATCTGACCTTTTCATAAGCCCTTTTTCCTAAGAAATAGTGGCAATACAGCTCTGGATTTCTCTATCATATCTGCTGTGCACCATTTCCTTTGAAATGAAAATTCAATGCAATAATGCTGCTGCTGCCTTCTGCATGCTGGTGTGCAGGACAGGAGCTCTGCACATGATTTGGTAGCTTTCTCCTAGCTGGAGAATTTGAGGTTTATGTGTCTGGGAAGAAAAATATTAAAAAAAAAAAAAAGAAAAGAAAAAAAAGGGCACCTGGAAATCCCTCCCTTCCCCCAACAAATAGTAATTACAGTGACCCACGTTTGGGCTTTGTGTCTGGTGTGGGATGAGCTGAGGTGGTTGATGAGGGGTCTCTGTGTGTGTGACAGGTTCGCCCGCCCAGGCCTCACATTGTCAAGAGACCCAAGAGCAACATCGGAGTAGAGGGACGGAGGACTTCGGTTCCCAGCCCGGAACAGTAAGTGCTTTGCTGCCCTGAGACGTTACAAAACACTGCAGATCAAAGGTATTTTTTAACTTGACAAAAAAAGGGATTTTTTACATTTTTGGACCTTTGTAGAGAAGCGTGAAAAAACAAGAAACCAAAGTTTGCTTATGAGAAACTTCTGGTTTGCCAAGTCACACCCCATGGCATCAGCCTGGTCAGTGAGATTCTCGGGTGTTGGAGGTTTGTTCATGTCTGAGTTGTTTCTGTTTGCACTTTTCTTTGAAGGAAATTGTCAGCCACACCCCTGCAGCTCCAGCCTTCTTGCCAGGCTGTACCAGGAGGTTCAGAACTGCCTGTTGCACAGCGGTGACAGGGAGGGTGTGCGTGGTGGCAGAGTGCAGCACCAGGAGGGCTGTGAGGGCTTCACTGGCACGGTACCAGCAAATCATCACCCCTTTAGCTTTGACAGTAAAGGGGTCACATCCAAAGCAGCTGTGCTGCTGCAGCCAGTGCTCCTGGGCAAGATGTGTTGGTCTCCAGCATCTGTCTGGTGCATCCAAGCCGTGTGTGCTGTTACCCTGGGGACACTTTTCCAGCTGGTTTGGTCACAAATGTCCCACCTTGGAGGACTTTCAGACAGCACACAGGACTGTGGGTGCTGAGGAGTTAGCAGTGGGGAACCCCTGAGCAGATGCATAGGGTCAGTGGGGTGTACTGGTGGTCAATAGTGGGTGTACTGACCTTGCCAGCACAGCCCAGGGGACACCCTGTGTGTGAGAGGCACTCGGGGAGGCTGCACTGCTGTGCCCTTGGCAGCTGCAACTGTTGGCTCCTCCTGGCTGTGGCTGCTGAGCTCTTCACCAGTGCTGAGGGTCCACCAGCACCAGGTTCTGCCTGGCACAGCCTGGCATTAGCTGCAGTTCCTAAGGGTCCAAATAAGTAGGTTCCACCCCTCAGCTGAGAATTTGGGGAGCTTGAGGACTGTGCCTTTCGGTTGGGTGTCCCCTCACCCCCTGAAGTTTCACAGCCACTCCAGGGGGGAGATGCCCTGGCTTGTACCTGAACTGACGGTCCTTTTCAGCTGTACAGCCTTATTTGTTGGTTTGCAGTGGAATTTGGTTGCCCTCTGGTGGAGCAGATGCAGACCCTGCACAGGGGTGACAGGGATTTTTAAACTGAAAGCATTTCCTTGCTGTTTGATCTGCATGTAGGTGGAGGATAATTGTCACATTTCTGTGTGTTCCTCTGGGGGATTGTGCACCTTTGGGTTCCACTCCAGGGTGGCTCACTGCTAACGTGCATCTTCAGCTCCTGCCACCATCAGACCACAAATCAGCAGAGACATGAATTACAACCACACTGTTTATACACCACAATATATATTTTCACTTGTGTTATCTGGTAGCGTTGGAGGTGAGGAAATTTATATCTTTAGTTACCTGAGTTAATTTTTTTAATATGTATAAAAGAAAAGCACTGTTTTGGGGTGCTCATTTTCTAATGAGTCTTCAGTTAAAGCACAGGGGGGCAGGAGCAGTGGCTGCTAAGAGCACCCAAGATGCTCATGTCTGTTGTTAAACCAGCGTTTAACCAGTCAGAATTGTCAATGATTTTTTTTTTCTATTTCAATAGAAAGTTTATTTCTTTAGAATTGTATCAATAACTCAAGGTTTGTGATGTTTGGTTCTTGAAAATTTGTCCTTAATCTAAAATTTATGATTTTTTAAAAAGCTTTCCTGGCTCTAAGGTAAAAGGAAGGATTTGTAGATGGGAGCTCAGGCAGTGCTGCATTACCACCCACGTGGGCTGTGCCTCCTTCCTCACAGATGAGTCGGTCACAGCAATAAGGGGTTGCATTTTCAGCAGACAGGCAGATTCGTGAGAGCTCCCTTTTACACCTCAGCAAGGTTTCCCATTAGCTGTGGCGGGGCCTTTGCAGGTGCTCCAGGACAGCTCCCAGGCCTTGTGGAGCAGGAGGAGATGAAAGGGGCGATCAGAGGGTTGGGCTCACAGTGACTGGGTGTCAGGGCCCGGGGGGGCTGTGACAGGTCACGATGGCCCCGCAGCAGAGGGGGGCTCAGCACAGGCTGCTGGCACTGCCTGTGCCCAGGGAAACGCTGCAGGGTGTGCAGGTGGGCACTGCCCTGGCTGTGGGGTGGAGTCAGCCATGCCGTGGGGGGGATGCAGGCTGGGGAAGCACAGTAAATTCTGGGGTAAATTCTGGGGGGAACCAGGCCCTCAGGGCTCCCCCCCAGCATCTGGGGATGGGGAGGGTGTTCCATGGCCTCGCTGCAAGCAAGGAGCTCTGATGGTGTTCAGGATCTGCAGGAAGGGATTGCAGGGGTTAGGTCTGGGCTGTGTTCAGGTGGAAGAGTTCCCAGGTAATCCCCTCAGTCCCAAGCCTCCTATTTCACACCAGCAGGAGAAAGACCACGCATCCAAATCCCTCATTCTCCGCATTTTAGTGTCTAAGAGGCACAAATTCCTTGATTCCCTAGAGCTCCTGTGTGGCTGTTCTTTAAAAAACCAAACCCATAAAAAATTATTCTCCCTTAGATTTGAGGAGCCTTTTTTTTATTATTCTCCCTTAGATATGAGGAGCCTTTTTTAGGAGGATCATGTCAAGTCCACGCACCCCTTTGTACCACAATGCCTGTCCTCGGGAAAAAGCAACACCGTAATAAAACACACAAATTTAATTTTCCCATAACTGAAACATCTTTTAAAATTATTACAGGATTCTCCTTATTAATTCCTGTATCCTGCACTCCCATTTTCTGTATATATATTTTTTTTTTTTCCATCTCAAGTACATTTAGGTGTCAATTAAATTTGAAATATCTACATTTGTCAGCATTTCATTTTTGGCCAGCGTGACGTGCCGCTGATTTGTCCGCGCGTGCTGACACACGAGCAGAGCTGCAGATGCAGATGCTGCTCATTAACAGGAGCCCGTGGTGGCGGCGCTGCCTCTGACAGGGCATTTACCGGGAGCGGCGGCGCTGTCAGCGCTGTCAGAGCCGCGCCAGCCTCACCGACCCGCCCGGGCACGGCGGGCTGGGCACCCACCATCCCTCACTCTTCCCTCTCCCTTTTCCCGTGTCAGCAGGACCTGTGGAAGTTCAGTGTCACTCTGCATTTCTGGGCATACTGTCGGGTTTTCTGGACTCGTGTTCAGTGGTGGGTTACTCTCCTAAGGCACAAAGATGTTCATCCCAGCTCAAACCACGAGTGTTTCTTCAAGTGTCTTTGCTTTCTGCTTTATTTTAGGTAGAGCCTTTTATTAATGTAAATTGGTTTTTCTGTAATCATAGTCACTTTCTAAAAGGAAAAAAAAATGTTCTAACAAATGGTTCCCCCTGCAGTGGCCCCACCTCCCTTCCCCTGGACACCTGGAGCAGGAGAGGGGACAGCACAGCAGTGCCCCAGCTTCCACTGATTAAACAGGCTGATGAAACACCATCAACTGTGTGTCTGAGGAACAGGGAGATGGCCAACGCTGGGGAATGTGGGGGGAGAGCTGGGTTTGTGTGGCACCCCTGCACTGTCTCAGGGCCCTGCCCACCCTCGTGGCACCCTGGCCCATGGAGCAGAGCTGTGGCTTTGCCCTGGGCAGGGCAGTCAGCCAGGACAGGGGGTTGTGTGCTCAGAGTAACTGCCTCTTCTCTTCCTGTCCCCAGCCTGGTAAAGCCCATGCGACACTATACTGTCTTCCTCTCGGAGGACTCCTCTGATGATGACTTTCAGCAGGAAGAGGATCCTGTCTCTGGCTTCTCTGAAAACTTTTTCTTCTCTGCTCCTTTCGAATGGTCTATCCTTTACTCTTTGGTTGTGCTCGTGCCGGCTTCCAGCAGCGGGGTTTGCATTGCTCAGGGTGCCTGCTCCTGTACTGGCATTTTGGGAATGCTCCTGTGGTCTCTTTACAGTGCTTGGTGAATGTCCAGCATCTCTCCTGCTTGTTTGTTTTGGTGTTGAGCAGCATGCAAAAGCATCCTCCTGCATGAAGCGCTGCAGCAGCCCACAGCCTGTGGGCTCACGTGGAGCTCTGGGGGATGTCACCCTTCCATTTGTCCTTTGTTCCAACGTGCTGTTCGTGCTCCTGTCCAGACCCTCTGCCACTCTTCCTTGTGTGGTGCTGCTGTGAATTTGGGTTGCCTGTGAGCCTTGTTCTGGTGGTTTTGGATTGTCCTGTGAGCCTTGTTATGGTGGGTTTGGGTTGCCTGTGAGCCCTGTTCCAGTGGTTTGGGGCTGTCCTGGTTCAGGGCAGTAACCAGCCCTCTCCAGTGTCACTAGTTTGATCCCAGCCTCTGGTGTGTCAGGGACTGCCCATGCACTGTCCTCCCAGGGCATTGGGCACAGTCTGACAGCTCTCCAGGGAGCAGGAGGTTTGGTGGGTTTGTTTTTGTGCAGCTTTTGAACTGGCACTTGTTGTACATTTTAACAAATGCAGTCACTGGCCTGAGCAGAACCTGCAGAGGTTCCAGGGTACTGGGAGGTGCTGCTGCAGAAATCCGTGTGTGCCACAGCCAGGCAGTTCAGGAGCTGGGAGGTGTGTCCCAGTCCCACCAGAGCCTGGCTGGACCAGGCTGGAGGAGGAGGCTGTCAGTGTGACGGGGGTCTCCAGGTGCCAAAATGCAGTGTGTGCTGCAGAGGGCAGGTTCAGGCTGACGGGGAAGGGATGGGTGGGTGGGTGGGATGGGGAGGTTCAGTAGTAAAGGATCAAAAAAATGTTCCCCCCGTCATTTTGGGGTGGAGGAGGCCAGTTTTGTTTGCAGAACGTTCCTCAGGGGGTTGCAGTGTGAGCAGAGCACACAGGGGGTGAGACTGAAGGCAGGGCCAGGGTTTGGGATCCCCCTCCCCAGGGCCATGTGCCATCCGTGTCTGCCCTGGACCTGCAGTGTCACACCCTGTGCTGGGCTGAGGGCCTGCTGGGTGTGCTGGTGAGTGAAGAGAGCTGGGCTCTTGGGGGATTTGCATGATAGAGATGTATTATGATAAAATATGGAAAGAGGAGGAGGGTTCTTCCGTAGGATCTGTTTCTGCAGGTCTCACAAATATTTTCTTTTAATTGAAAGCTTGTTTAAATGCCACAGTACAACTAGCTGCCAGTCAAGTGCCAATCCCCACAGCCATGTGTGGCACTTGCTGTTATTAATTGGATGCACATCGTGCTGCTGTTCTCTGTACACACCAAAATGCAAATGTGCTGGTTCGTTTTTTTGCTGAGGTTTGTGCAAGAAGAGGCATCCTGCGAACTCAGCCTGGGCTGGGAATGTAAAGGAGGTGTCTCCATAATGGATTGTGCTGTTTCTTGATAAGATGACACCAGTGAAATCATTGGAACTCTGCACAGTGTTCCCAATTATTGCAGGGAAACACTGAATTATGTTGTGTGCTGAGCTGGCTCAAAGCAGGAGGCTGGAAGTGCCTGCAGACACGGGCCATGCCCGGCCTGAGGGGAGCACAGAGAGCTGGCACCCCGTTATCCCTGCTCCCAGAGCTCCCTCCCCAGCCTGGCTGTGCCTGCATGAGCACAGCTTCCCTCTGGGCACTTCCCCCGGGTGCCAGGGCGCCTCTGCATGTCCCCCTGCCCATGGGCACTGCCCCCATCCTGCTCTGCACGGGCTCTGGGAGCCGGACCGGGCACCCAGGAGCGTTCTGTGACCCACCCAGCTCCTCAGGAGATGGTGTTTGTGGCAGAGCTGCCCCAGGATGCCCGTTTGCAGCGCGGTGTCTGTGTGTGCCAGGCCTCAGCCCTACCGCGCCCTGAAGGAGTCGGACAGCGCCGATGGGGAGGACTCGGCCAGTCCCGACAGAGCGCGGGAGCCGCTGCCCGCCAGCCCCCTGCTCGCCAGCACGGCCACGGACCTCAACCTGCTGGAAGACATCTTCCCAGGCCTGCAGGTGGAACCCCAGCCTCAGCCCCTGAGCCAAGCCAAGAGCCTGGAAGACCTGCGGGTGCCCCCGGAGGAGGACGAGCAGCGCTGCTCCTTCGAGTACCAGGTGTGGGGCTGGGGCTGAACCCTCACCTTCTGAGGGGCCTCTGTGTTGTTGGGTAGATACCAATAGTAATAATAACAGTTATTAATCCATTTCTCAGGGGTTTGCTCATGTGTTTCAGAATTAATTTCTGAATCAAGAAATTGCTGAAATGGGCCTCATTTGTAAGTAACTTTTGCCTCTAAAGGAGGGGATATTTGCCCTGTTCCTCAGAACCTGTTTGTCCAGTGGCTGTCACACACAGCTTTGAAACCAATGCTCAGCAGTGAGAATGAATAGCTGGGGATTTTCAGTTCCCCTCCAAATTTTCTTTTCTTTTAATTTGGCCATTATGGGCTAAAATTTGAAAAATGTAATTGGAGAAGAAAGATTCTTTGTGAAGGACTTCATGGAACATATTCAGCTTAGAAAGTGCCAAACTAAAGCAGACTCAGGTATCTTCACCTGACATGAAAGAAGACAATATCATTTCTACCTTATAATAATATTTAATTTAGTGTTATATCCAGATACTACATTTGCCAGCTTTTTCCATGCAGCAGTTAAGGCTGCTCAGTTGCTGTGCCCTGGGCACAGGGTGTGCTCCTTGCTGAGCCACAGCAGATGCCACAGCGTGTCCCAACTGGACAAGGCGGGAGAGGCAGAGCAGGAGTTAAAGCTGCCAGTCCCGATGGGTTCCATGTCTGTCCTCCCAGGGCACTCACTCTTGTCCCTCTCCAGTGCTGGCAATCTGGGGACAGGTCCCTTCCCTCAGCCCAGGAGCCTGACCTTGCTTCCTGCTCCGTGTTCTGGTCAAAGTTGCCATTTTTGATGCTTTCTTGCAGAGGATGGACCTGGGGGTGTCCGAGAGGAGCAGGATTGTGCCAACCATGAAGCTGTCCCACCCCTACAACAAGCTGTGGAGTATGGGCCATGACGATATGGCCATTCCCACCAAGTATTCCCAGAGCTCGCCAGAAAGGTCCCTGAGTGCCCTGGGAAACGGGCCCCCGGTCAGCAGGAGACCCCGGAGCAGGGACAGTGGTCTGGCTCCCGCAGAGAAGGATGAACTCAACCCTGCCCTCCAAGGGAACATCACCATTCCCAGGCCACAGGGCAGGAAGACTCCGGAACTGGGGATAGTGCCGCCACCACCACCAGCACCCAGGGCTTCCAAGCACCAGGCTGCAGCGGGGTCAGTGGAGATCCTCCCCGCTCCTGGGCGGGTGTCTGATCTCATCCCAGAGCCCTTTGGAGCAGGGCACGTGTCCTTGGAGCCTGAAATCCAGCAGGCTGGGAATTACTGCCCTCACCCATCTCAGCTGCTGTCCAGCGCTGCCAGCACCGCTGAGGTGCTGCAGCCTGTCAAGGTGAAGACAGAAGGTGCAGGTAATGACAGTGACTTCCTTCTGGACCTGCTGGACCCGCTGAGAACGGCGGGCTGGGAGAGCCAGGCCCCACAGCGAGGGCCCCCCAGCCTGCCCAGCTCGGCCCCCCCGCCACCCACGGCTGCCTTTGGCCTGGGGGGGAGTGACTTTGTGCCTCCTGCAGCTGCACCATTTGTCCAGCCCCTGGGCTACCCCTCCCCAGCTCCACCACCTTTTCTACAGCCATCCCCTAATCCCTTCACCCAGACACTGCCAGGAGCCCTCCCAGTGTCCCTGGTCAGACCCCCGAGGGGCTCCTTCACCCCCTCCTTAGGTCACGCCTACAGCTCCAGCTTCATAACACCCGGTGGCTTCTACCCACCACGGAGACCTCAGCCCAACCTGTCAACTCTGTCCATGCCAAACCTGTTCAGCCAGGCTCCAGCTGTGCCAGCAGCTGGCTCCTTGCTCCTGCAGAGCCCCTCTGCCTCCAGCTCCCTGCAGGCAGCGTGTCCCAGTGGGCCCTCCAAGCCCCCAACGTTACAGGTGGGCCAGTCCAGCACAAAGGTAGATCCCAGACAGGCTCTGGCTCTCCTGGCCAGTGAACGCCCCCTGCTCCCTGCCAGGCCAGCCAAGGGCCTGGAGTCAGTGTTACTGTCCTCAAAGGCTGAGGAGACAAAAGATCCATTTGAAGATCTGTTACAAAAGACCAAGCAGGACGTGTCACCCACGCCAGGTAAGGTGGAACAGCTCAGAAAGAGATGGGAAACCTTTGAGTGACACTCGCTGGCCTTGGTGTCCCTTTGGAAGTGACAGAGGGGGTTTTTGGTTTTTTTGAGCCAGCATAAAACCAAGCATTTCTTTTACAGAAGGCTGAGCCAGGACAGCTGCAGGACCATCACTGAGCTGCACTCCCACACGAGGGGGTTTGCCCAGAGTCCCCTCTTGTCCCGGTCCCTGCCTTGGCTCCCTCCCTCCCCCCCCAAACCCCGGGATTCCTGCACTGACCAAAGCTGAGGGGAGGGGGCTGGGTTGGGTTTTCCACACACAGCTTTCCAGGCAGTACCACTGATGCAGAGTTACTCCTTCCCTGTATTTTCAGTCCTTGGCACACGGCACACACTGCTGGGGCTCAGTCCTGCCTCAGTTTCTCTGGCTCTGCACACAGAAAGACAATATTTTTTCTCCACAGGCAAAGTGCAGCAAACAAACCTGGCTTGTGGGCTGCACTAAATTAATCCATCAGGCTCTGCTTTTCCTGCTGTGGAACCCAGACACTCTTTAGGTGCTGTGGGATGGGGTTTTGGCTCTGGGGCCTTGCTGGGCACAGTTGTCCCAAGGCCCTGGTGCCTCAAAACCACAGAGCAGCTGCTCAGGGTTTGGTCCTGCACCTCTGTTGGGAAACTGGAAACACCAGCAATTGTTTTTTGGTTTTGTTTTGTTGTTGTTTAATACATCAGAAAATAGAGGCCATAAAGAGTATCCTAGTTCTTATATATGTGTATCCTAATATTATCTGTCAATGATATAAATGGCAGTATAGGAATGGAATGTAACAATATCTTACTTGACTATTACAAACCAGGAGCAGAAAAGGGGGTACCAGAGTCCCAGCTGCCGAGCTGCACGGGAGGAGCGTGCTGGGGGTGTCTGTGAGGGGGATCCAGGCCCAGGGGAGCAGCAGGACAGCCCAGCCCTGCCCTGCCGGGAGTTCAGAGCCCCCTCTGTGCAGTTCTGGAGACACCACCCCCCTCCAGCACCCCGAGGGAGCTGCTCTGCTCCGTGCTGGGGGACCGAGTGCTGCTCCCTTGGGCTGTGTCTGGGCACACCTGGGTGTAAAACCTGTCCCTGCCAGGGGGAACTGCGTCACCACGGAGCCTTTGACAGAGGAGATCACCTTGGACACGTGGGGAAATCCTTGGAGAGCTTTACCTGATTTCCAGTGTATCTATTTTATTCATGTAATCTTGGAAGTTTTCTTACTCTGGGGAACGGGAATGGCTGTCTGTGCATTCGGGTCTGGGCAATACTAAAGAAAAATATTCCTAACAGCTGAACTGGCACCGGCTTGGGAGAGACCACAGAATTCCAGGGATGTTGTTTCTGTACAGTGCTGGGCCTCTGACAAGCCATTCCCTCGGATTTGTATTTTCTTTTTGTGTTGGAAGACAGATGGGTTTAGTATTGCATAGTAAAATATTTAAAGTCTAAGATAACAGTTCCATTTTATTTTATACAGCTCAGAATGTGAACGTTATATAATCGAGTGTGGAATTTCAGAGCTCCTTTGCTGTGAGCTCATGGTGGATGTGAATGGGCCCTGGACAGTCCTGCCCTCTCAGGCTCTGTGTTAAAATTGTTCATGTCACACAGGATCAGACATGAGGAGGCCCAGTGCAGGTGTTTAAGAACAGTCCCACTGCAGTTCATTTCCATCTCGGGTTACTTTGCCCGTATTGTGGAGCATTTTATGCTCCTGAGTTTTGGACAAGCACTTGGATCATTTTCGAGGCACTGAAGAGAATTAACACTGCACTGAAATGGCATTTCTCACCCCTCACTTTATTTTGCACCTCGGGGATCTCTGAGGATGAGGAGTTTGGGACTTTCCTCACTTCTGGAATAGGGGTTGAAAGCAGGAGACTTTGGGGCTTCTTGTAATAGAGAAATCAAACTCTCCCTAGGGCAGTATTTGTATTTAGGGGGGGTGTCTTATTTAAACTCAGGAATCCCTAACACGATTCATTCCTAATTGTGCTTGTCTGGGAGAGCAGGCCAGGCTGGGAACCAGCTCGAGGTCTGACACAGAAGGATTTTTGATGTTTTGATATTATTCATCAGAGCCCTTGTCCTCAGCTTTGTCCGTGTTCCTGTCCCTGCCTCGTGTTTGGTACCATTTTGCTTATTTCAGCTGCCATCAGAAATAACTCGATTTAAAAAAACAAAGAAACCAGGGAGAGCAGGTTTGCACAGCTCTGCCTCGCTGTTCCAGCAGCTCCCCCAGTCCTGAGGCCTCTGGGCTGGGACAAACCATCACAAAATTAGTGATTCAACTGTAAAGAAACATCAGGGTTTGCAGCTGTCACACACCACCATCAGCCACCCAGACAGCAAGGTGTTCTTTAGGGAAAAACAGCTCTGGGTTTAACCAAATTTTATTGTAAATTTCTTTTGAAGGACATTCTAATTATATACAAATTATAAAATTTACAGTTACAAAAGAAATCAGGATCATGATCATTAACTACAGCAAGTCCAGTTTTGTGAAAAAATATATTCAAAAATTAAATATCAAAAGAAAGTAAAGTTCATTATTGAAAAAAAAAAGAAAAAAAAAAAAACTCCATAAATTATTTTGCAGAAATGCTCAAGACACTGAGAGAGGATTTTAACACCTTTGCTACTACTGGCTTTGGGTGTCGGAATGCTCTGCCCCCGGGGAGCGCCTGGCACAGACACAGCGGGCTGGGCTGGGCTCTGGGCCCTGGCCTTGAGCGGCTCAGTGAGCTCTGAGAACACAGGGCTGCTGTTCCCAAAGCCAGGCTGGAGGAACAGGGGTCCCTCAGCCCCTGCTGCTGCAGTCAGGGCATCTCTGGGCACTGCCACATCCAGCTGCTTCCCAAACACAGCCAGGCGGGATCACCACTTTTTCTTTCAGCTCCTCTCCAGTACTAGAGGGTACGAGAGTTTAGAGACAAAATATCGACTCCCACTCGTTCATTTTTTTTCTATTTTCAAACATTTTCATTCTTCTCTCAGCAGCTGCCTCAGTGCAGAGACCTGTTCTTAGCAGACACACCTGTTCTTAAACATCCACACCTGATCAGTAGTTCTGTGCTTTTCCCTTTGCTCGGAACTAGAAACATTTACAGCCAAAGTAAAAAAAATAAATAAACCCAAAAGTGTACCAGAATAATCAGCCTTTTCTTCTGCTAGCAATGAGCTAGTGGGCAGGTTCCCACCCTGCTTACCAAAGGTATTTTTGAGATTAAAAAGCAGACACTGTGTTCTAAAATATGCCTCGTTGATAGTTGCAGTGATTATCCTGAAACACTCCTGACTCCAGACCTCACCTGTCCTGCTCTGCTGCATTTCCTGCCACAGGCTCTGCCACGTTTTGATGAAGAAGAAACAGCACATTCAGCAGCTCAAACAGTAACACAGGGGAAGCCACAGAATCCAACCCTCCTTAGGGCAGTGGAAGGTGAGTGTTGTGTCACTGCAACACCAACCCTGGCTTGGGTCAAAGGGCACTAGTTTGGCTCACTAAGCTCCACTCTCCTGTACTGACAAGCCCAAACTGTCTGTCCAGAGAGGTCAGATCTACAACTATTTCCTTCTCACCTCCTCACCCAGCAGGTACTACTTGATGCTCAGTCGCTCTACACAGTAACATCCTCCTTTCACAAAGTTAAACTGTAACTGGCAACTCAGGCTCAGAAAGGCACTTAAAATACTCCTGTGGTTTGGTCTCCAGGAAAGCTCCAGCAGCCCTGTCCAGCACAGTGGGATGTACAGCCAGGGAGTGCCCAGACAGGGAGGGGCAGCAGCAGCTCTGGGAAGGATTTCCCACCACTCACTCACCTGGCTTAGCTTTGCAGAGGAGCCACAGGCACGTGCTTTTTGAAACAGCCATATTATTCGTATTATTTCTGAATGCGGTGCTTTAATCCCCATTACCTGGACCTGCCTCACTTACTTGTAGGGTGTTTTTTCAGTTGCCTGCAGGGCAGTGACAGCCCCTGTGGCTCCAAGCCCTGGTGCCCACAGGAGCAGCAGGAGCCCACTGGGTTCTGTCCCAGGTTCTGGGTCCCCTCCCACCCTCTCCTCCCCAGCCCCTCCACAGAGGGTGGTTTCCTGCCCCGCTGCTGCTCTTGCCCCAAGCAGTTTAACCCCAGCTGTGTGGGATGAGCTGCAGTGAGCAGCTGAATGCCCTGCAGTGAGCAGCTGAATGCCCTGCAGTGCCTGGGAGCAGCTTGGGTCTGTCCTGCACAGACGGGGGGGCTCAGCAGCTCCCAGGGACTCACGGGAGACACGGCCCAGTGTCAGATGAGCCGCTCGGTCGGGGGCATCTTGATGACGTTCCACATTTCCACTCGAGCCCCGTCCTTCTCCTGCCGGCTGGGGCTGTAGGTGCCCTGCGTCGCTCTCCTCCTCTTCATGGCGATGGCCGTGGCCGCCAGCACCACCAGCAGCAGGGCAGCCCCCGCCGCCCCCACCGCTCCCACCACCGAGGAGTGGCTGAGGTGAGCCCACACTCGCTGCTGTGGTAGAACAGGCAGTTACTCAGAGCTTCCCTCTCTCCCCTCCCCATCCCCTCCTGTCACACAGGGCCCAAGGGATGCAGGGGAGGCTGCTGACCCTTCTCCTGCTCCCCTCTCCCCTCCACACACCCCTGGAGTGCTGCCTGCACCTTCCCTGCACGGTACCGTGGGAATGTCTAACAGCACCACGGCATCCCACATGGATTGGTACAAGGACTGCGGTAATTCCTGACAATTCCCTGTAACACGGGGGCTGGCACAGGGCAGGAGGTCACAGCTGCTGTTGCTGTTGAAGACTGAAAACCTCACACCCCTGAGCTGAAAGAGCTGCAGTGTTTCTCAGCTGCTGGCAAAGCCCGAGCAGTTCCACAAAGCAGCCGTGAGCCCCCTCCCCACGGCTCCTGCCTTGGGGGCAGACTGAACTGGGCCACCCCTGCCTGGGAGTGGATGGAGCCAGAGCACCTTGAGCAGCTGCCCAGCGTCCAGGGCCGCTGGGAGGGAGGGCAGAGGCTCCCTGGGAGCCCCTGGGTGTCTGGCCCAGCCGGGGCAGCTCCCACAGGCAGCTGTACAGAACGTCCATGTCGTCGTGGCCGGGCCTTAAGGAAACTGGGACGGGGTGGATCTGCTGCTGCAACTGCTGGGAAGAGCCCAAGGTCCGAGCAGACCTTGCAGGTGCATCTCCTTGTCCCGGCAGGGCCTAAATTAAGCGCTCTTCGGGTGGCACCTTTAGGACACTGTCCATCTCCAGCCGAGCTCCCGCCACCTCCTGCTGGCTCGGGCTGTAGGTCCCCTCGGACTGGCGCCTCTTCCTGGCCGTGAGAACCATGAATATGAGCCCGATGCTGAGGAGCAGCAAAGAGCCACAGGCTACAGGG